GGCAGGCACCAGGCCAGTCAAAGTCCTCCCTTGGCCCCACTGGAAAAGCAGCTCTCAATCCCACCAACCTCTGTGCTCGGAGCTGCCAGGAGGTCCTGTCCTGCCCCACGTTACTCAGCGCATGGCAGACCTGAAACAAGAAGGGGAAGGCATCGAAGGACATTTAAACATCTGCATGAGACAAATGTGGTCATGTGCCAAACATCTGTATTTTCCTGATTCATCTTTAACCCTTTCCCCCCCTTTTGGACACCTGCTATGGGTAATTTTTGTTTCTCTTTGTTGACATGAGCAGTTTCTGTCATATTTCAGGGCTGCTTCCAGAAGTTAGTGAGGGTGATCTCTGCCCATGCAGTTTACTAGGGATACCCTTCGAAAAACACAGTGCCCATTCTAATGGTTGTCAAACCAGGTCTTTATTGACATATACTGAGATGTTAGAACTCATCTTTAAAGATACCGAGGACCCCATCAAATGTTGTCTTTACAAAAATAACCAAGCGTAAAAAAGGCTTTCAAACAAACCTTTGGCAGCACGTTGACTACAAAGTGAACAGGAAGATATGAGACAATGTGGGTTAATATCTCCCATGGTAAGGACAACAAGCCACTGGACTCAGCTGAAGGTGAGGGGCTGATATCTGCTGAGGATGAGTGGCTGGTGGTCAGCAGACTAAGAAGATTAGATAAACACAGATTAATTATTTTCTTCATGACACTGTGCCACATGAAAACCCAGCTGACTGTGTGAGGCTCACCCATGCAGGTCAGGCCTGGTGGCTTCAGTGCTCTTCACCTGGTCAGGAAATGGCTGCTCACCGCGTACACCTGCCTCGCCTTCCTGCAGGTTATCCCTGACCTCAGACATCCCCTTTCTCCTCCAGAAGGCTAACTCATGGACCTTAGACTACCTTTATTTTGTGTTTTAATAAAGGTGGAGCTCTTTAAGCTAAGCTTAGCCTCAACTACATTTATGATGTTCGTATTCAGGGAAACTCTGCCTGAGGAAAGCTTTAGGTAGCCGTCACAAATGAACGCTTTCCTTTCCTTGATAGCTGCTAACTGCAATAGAAATACGGCTTTAAAACGCCCAGATAGCGGTTATCTTCTAAGTGTTGGCTGCTATTCCCTAAAAACAAAACCTGAAAGCGTTTACCGCTTCTTAAAACTTACCGCCTGAGTCAACGTTACTAAAGCGGAATATAAATCGAATTAAAGGCTAATGTAAGGCAGAAGCATCAATTGTTGTTTCTGTCCTGTAATCAAACAAACACACACACACACAAAAAACATTCAAACGGCAGTTCCGATTTCGTCATCAAACTGTGCAGCAGAATTACAATTCTATTGGTTGCGGTAGCCAGTGTGAGGGAGGGGGACACCCTCATCGGTGATTGGTGGATACGTTGTCAGCGCGACCATCACGGGGAAGACTTTCCTAAAAGCTTTTCCCCGCTATATATTATCAGTTTTTGTATTTCACGTGAAGGAAAAGAAAAGTTAATACATTTATTTCTGAAATAAATGTATTGAAATAAAATAATATACATATACACA